CTGTCCAAAAATGAAGAAACAACATGGGGACAAAACCCTGATATGCTGCACACTGCAATGACATCCACTCAGGAAGGCTTCTACAAATATTTATTTATAATAGTTTGTTCTAGACTAACGTATGAGCAGTGCTGAAATGTGTGAACTCAAAGACCTGCACGAAGCATTCCAGCACTAGCTGTTGCTTTTTCCTGATTTGGTGCCGTTTTAGCGGCTCTTAATTGCCTGGGTTGGTGCAAGCTACAGGAAGCGCTGGTGCTGGAGATTATCTTTCCTGTGTTTCTCCTTTCCTTAATGCTGCAAAGGAAAACATTCACTGCTTCGCTGGGTCTACTGTGAAGCGAGACCACGGTCAGACCGAAAGAATGTGCCTCACGCTGGATCAGGGGGTGAACAGGAATCTATTAATACATTAGCAAAGAAGAACAAGGACCTCCTGGGAAATGGATGAGCTTTCCAAATGTTTTGAAGAGTGAATTTGTCAAATTTCTGTACAGCAGGTACACTTTCAAACAGTTTGTGCAATACGTTATAGCTAATTGTAAGTTATTGTATTTTACTTTCCTCCTTTCCTTCCACAATGACAACGGAGAACCAGCCGTGTGGAAATTCTGTAGAATAATGTTGGGTAAACAGAGAATCAATCAGGAGTTTGAATCAATGAGGGTTTCAGGACTGCTGAAAAGAAGGCCATAGGGAAGCCCAAGCAGCCTACTGTAAAAAAAAAACATTGTGAACTACTGCCCAAGTGGTATACACTTTCACTAGCAGCCAGCACTTGCCTCGCTATCCAAGACAAGCCTGCCCCCTGCTGGGCGAGTAAACCTACATCACGGGATTCTTTCTGAAGAGAGTAATGGGAAGATTCTGCCTCTTCCTGTACACAATAAATGAGTATAAATACACTAGATGAACAACATGATGTAAACCTCTTCCCATTAAGACCCACAGACATAAACAGGAGATGTAAGGACTGTCATTAGCATCTTCAGCTAATGTAGGAGAAAGTTATCTTTTGCAAAAAAAAGCTAAGGGACAGCTCACTTCCTTCAGTTTGCCCATGCTACCTCCTGAGTTCATAGGTCATAAAGAACTGCAGAGCCCCATGTGGTTTTGACAGTTTGAAGACTTAAATAGCAACTACAACACGGAAGAGTTTATACATTTATAGTCAACAGCTGACAGCTTTTGAAATCTAGTTTTCAAAAAAGGATCATCAAATCAAGTTGGACCTGGGTCCCACCCAGTTAATCTTTGGCTCTAAGGTTTAAATCTTATTTATCTACTCGTTATTAGAAGACATCATACATAATTCATTCTGTCAACTTCAAACAGTTAACAGTAACCTTAAAATTAAGAGATCAATAAATCCACATAATAGAAGTTTTATTTATATTTTCCTAAACATTTATTAATTTCCCTCAGAAACTAGCACTTGTGCACTAAGAGACATGAAAACCTCCAGGAACAAGTTGTTTCTATATCAATAC